ATGTGAAGATATGATTTAAGTCAAGCGGAGTCTCTCCAGAGTACTTATTCTGCTAAAGTCTGAGTTAAAGCTTGAACACACATTGGAAACGACGGGCTACAGCTGTCAAGTTTAATTTTAACATGTACTCTTATGTAGACTAGCCAAATATGTAGCTGTGGCCAGATTAGATCTGTTAATATTTTTCTAGCGACAGATAAGATTCTTCCCTTGTTGTATGTCAAACTCAAGCAAATCCACGATATCGCTGCCGCGTTCTAAAAATTCATTTCGCCATCGACAAAGCATCTAACTAGATAATGAAGAAGCTGTGGTCCGTTGATTTCAATGTGTTCAGCACTTATGTCTGTTGCAGTACAATAGCCAGTCAGTAAGAAGTTGAGCATGTGCGTTGCGGGTCTCCCGAAGCAGTTGAAGCTCTGTCTCGCCAACCGTAGGTGGTAGTTCTACTAAAACGGCATTCACAGGTTGGGAGTTGATGTAGTTTGAGACATACTAACTGTGAATGACATTTATGACCTGTCTATATAGAGTCTGGTCCAGTGGTTGGTATATGTATTCTTCGGTTCGTAGATATGGCTTATGACGTGCCTTGGCGAGGGCTCTTCCGAAAGCAGGTGTCTGTTCGGGTGCTCTCGTCTGTGGCAACCTACTAGCTTGCATAGCATAATGTTATGCTCCCTGACAGGCCTTTGGGGCATTTGGACCTCGCTATGGAGATGATGCTCTGGCGACATCAGAAGGCATCCGGTGGCTGCCCGTAGTGCTGTCTTCTGCCAGTTCTGAATACCGAGCTGTACCCTTTCTACCAGGTGGTGAAAAGAGTTGCTAAGGATTTTGTAGGGGAGGTTTAGGCTTCTTGCAGCGAAAAAGCGAAGTGGGTGTTGTTGCTCGAATGTGCGGACAGTTGAAGCACAGTTGCAGCCGTTTTTTTGAAGCATTTTAGAGGCATGCAGATACGTATATGTACATAGGCCTGGTGAAATATCTTTCTCATCGACATCACGATTATGCGGACCTGACCTTTACAAAAGGGAATATACTGTAGTCGATATGTTTTTCTGATGAAAACGTTCAAGCATAAGGAACAAACCGAGTTATAAATTTATCAGATAACGATATTTTTTTAAAGTAAAGCATGTAATATATTTGTTAACTATTTTAGAAATATCTCAACTATAAGTAAATAACCATTTTCTCGAAATACTGTAATGTTGTCTTATTAGAATTTATGTTATTTTCGCGACATATTTTTTTTTTAAGTTTTTATTACTCATAGTACTCGTAGTCATTTCTTTTTGAGCTTAATTGATATTCATAATAAATATTTTAATATATTCTTCAGATAATTATGTATGTATATTTAAAAGCAAAGTAAAAATACAGTTAGAGGAGTGGCGTGCGCATAAGCAGAAAACATTTTGCAAACTTTAGGTATTCAATGCAGCGGTAGACGCACAATCATAGTCGAAATGTTTACTGAGAATTGGACTCTTTACAATAATCTGTAACGTTGTGTTTCGCCTCAAACGACTTCGAAACCATAACATCATTAATGGAATGCACTATGGGTAGTTTGATCAGTTTTTGCGGTAAAAATTCGTTTTTCGTGCTTACAAAAATTTAATTTTTGTCCTTGGTAATTGATAAAGAAAGCTTCAGACCAACTAACTGTGTCTTTTATTTTTGTAAAAAAAGGAACGACAAATGCTTGGCAGATGGTCAAGGTCGTTGTCTGTGAATAAAATATTGGAATCTATTTTATGTTGTATTTTTGTTTTTAGCTATTATCGAACAACAATATTTAATTACCGAACAAATTAAAAAAAGGTAGAATATAATGAAAAAAATGCTATTTTTAACTGGACATAACTTTTAGTATTTTTTTCCTCCTAAAAATTTAATTTGAAAATGATTTTATAATGTTGGCCGAAATTGGTATGCTTACGACTACCAAAAATGTATAAACGAAGGTTTTTGAGTTTAATTTGTCAATTTCATGTAGCGATTTTTTGTGATTTGTAGGAAATACCTTTTTTTTTTTTTGGTATTCTTGATACTATCAGTAGTGAACTATTGACAATTTGGAGGGGAGAACTAATAAAGAGAGAAAACAAAAGGCTATTTACAATTTTGTTGCTACAAAGGCTGCTCCTTTTAATTTTTCAGCAGATAAATTAGGAAATTCAAAAATTTCAAATTTTCAATTGAAATTAATATACATTGGCAATATTTTTCAAAAATAGTCACTGTAAAAATTGTTTCTAGATAAGCTTTAATTAAAATATTAAGGGAAAACTGCATTCAAATTTTTTCAATAGAACCACTAATTAAAAGGTGGCCATATTAGACCCAAAGGTCGTCAAGGGTTAATACTTTTTTGCAAAATTATTCAGCCTCATTGCTTAAGTCGTAACTACTCGACAAAATTGGCATTGCCTACTGTCGTGATGAAATAAGTAGACGACGAAAAATATCCAGTGCTGCCAAGTTTTTCTGTTTTAACTAGTATAGTGTCGAAATTTTAGGCAATGCCATGCAATTTTCGACACGACTCGACTTTTGAAAACGACTTGCGCTCGTCAGTGCGGTCGCAATGAGGCTGATTATTATTTTTAATTAATCTAGTTTTTTGTGGGTTTGAAAGGGTGTGGTGTTTGGGGAGGGAATTATGTGGGAATTATGAAGCACAACGACAGAAGGCAAAAGATCATAGCACTATGTAAGGAATATATCTTCGATCTTTATGCAAATAAATGATTTTGAAAATCATGCAAAAAACCACCAATGACCTTTTACTCTGCTTAGAGTAGATTTTCTTACAAATCAGTAATGCACACATACATACATACATAAAAAAAGACGATCGCGTACCACATTTCAGTGGGATATTTGCAAAACTGAGGTTCTTTTTTCGTCCTGATAACCATAACGCCTTAGTCAAAACGTAGCGAAATACCTCAGAGCTGCTTATGGTTATGGCGAAAAACTAAAATAAAATAGATAATCGCGCTTTGAAATCAGTTTTTTCAAAAACTTATAAATTTTTTTTTAATTTTTATAAAAAAATTGCTAAAAAAAATGATTCTGAAGGCTTCCTTCCATTCATATACCATTACACTCCGGACTATGATTAAGCGTCAACGCAATTTTTTTCTGTCGCAGCAAGGTTATTAATTAAAAAAAAAAACGAATTTTTGAATTTAACATTTTTTGTTTTGTAAATTACCCGTCTTGGTTAACAAATGGTTGCAATGTTTGCGGATTGATTAGCACGCTGCCCTTTGGCACACTAGAAATATCGGTTACGGCCCACACTAGACCACGACTGGGCAGCGTCGTGTCATCCTCAATTGGTGTTGGAGTTGGCGTCCCCGCTGCGTCGATACAATGCGCAGGCATGACGCCGGCACTGCATAGAATCGTAGGCTGCAAATGAAGATTGACTGGTGTTTGTAGGTGACAAACTGTAATTCCTTCCGGCGTTATTATTAATGGCTCCGACGCTTGATCCTCGCTACAGTAGCCATTCGGTGATGGTGTTACCGAATCGGAATGCGCAGATTGTGTTTGAGTTTTATAACTATGATTGTAGTAGTTTGGAGTTTGGGCAGTGATGGTTATAAATAATTGTAAAAATTATAACGTTCATGGCAATAATAATAAAATATAATAAAAAATGAATTAAATCACTTAAATTTTCAATTTAAATTCGTAATGAGCTAACTTTTAAGCTAAAAGCCATAATTTTTTTTTTGTATATTACAATTTGTAAACGAATTTATCTTGGATGCAAAAACTTTACAAAATAACTTTAAAGTATGTAAATTTGCTTATTTCGTTAAAGCTACACTTACCCGCTGCTGGAGGGCGACAAGCGCCAAGGTGTATTTGTGCTGCCAGCTGAATCTTGTTTAGAAAATGAACGCGCACCACCACCACTGTTTTTGTTTGAGTTTGCCGAGTCGCCGCGCATCATAGGCGGCCCACCACCACCGCCACCACCTTGTGATGGTCCGCCTCCGTAGTTATTGTAGTTGTGCACTTTGGGTACAGCGCCGCCGCCAGAACGGCCATCGCGTGAATCATTTGACTGTAAAAAAAGAGTTACACACGAGTTAGAAATTCGTTAAGATTCGAACTAGTCAATCTATTACATTCTGCATTTTCATCATTTTGCCATTGGGACGTGGCCGATTTTGCTGATGTTGTTGTTGCTGCTGCTGCTGCTGTTGCTGTTCCACCGATTGCGTCCAGCTGACATTCATGTAGCCATCGTCCATGGCCTCGCCACTGTCATTTTGACTGCGATTAAAAATGCGACTGCGCGCGCGTTCATAGTCCTCTTCGCGCTCTTCAAAACTCTTTGCCTTGCGATCAAGCATGCTGCCACGATCCGGACACAGGTAACTACTTTGACGTGCCTCATCGAAGCTGTGCGTATCGCGCTTCAATATTGATTTGCGTGAATCCTCGCGATGATCGCGCACCAACGATTTGAAGCGAATCTGGAGAGAAAATGTGATGACGTTAAGCGATTCTAAGCTGAATTAGATAAGCGGAAATTTCGTTCATTACTCACCTCGGGTATGCGTGTGTTTTTTGTGGCTGCCACAATAACGCATTGCTGTGTCTCGGTATCGACATTGTGCTCCATGCCAAAGAAGGCCGCTGTACGATGTATCAACATGCGGTTGTACGAAGAAGCCGGTGGGAAGCGCAATTCACCGCGGCTAAAAAGGAAATAATGCCAATGAATATAAGGCCAAATATGCTGAGACAACCAAAAAAAAAAAAAATCTAAATCGTAAGTTCGTGCACTCACCTCTTTTCCTGCACAAATTCAGTTAGATCCTTTTCCACTTTTAGCAGGAAATGTCTGTCCTTTGGATGCTTATTGAGCGTCTCCTTGAAGAAGCTGAACAGATCGGTACCGCCATGATCGGTGAATTGTTCGCTCGAGTTCTCTGAGTTGTTGAAAA